GGCTTCCTGGCGATTGCCTCCTACCATCTAATAGGTTGATTATTGCCAATGAAAATTAAGAGCACGATGATTATAAGATCGATTTACCGAAAGCCAACCTTTACAGGTAGTTGGATACCAATATGTGAAAAGAAAAATCTTATCCACGTAGCAGGATTTTGGAAATCCGCCCTGTAGATACAGTCGATACAGAACTAAAAAACCTCACAACTATCTTAATTAATGGATATCTTAGATGGTTTATTGAAAGAAACTATCCCAAGCCAAATCACAGTACCGCCAAAGACACTATTTATGAATTTTTCATTCAAGGTTGACATTAACGCAGAAGTGATTAAATGTCGTTTTCTCAGTATATTAAAGGTTTTTTTATGCAACTGACTTATATTTAGTATTCACCAGCCAAAATATGATTTGACAACGCGTCAAGGAAAAAATACCGCTTATGTCCAACTCTATGTGTATACACTCTTTCAGATGCTCGTGTGTAGCTGATTACATTGAACGTTGTAGGCGTGTACTCCGGAAATGCGTAGCTGAAGACTACCCGATTTGGTTAATAACAGGCTGGCACAGAATGACTTAGTCTTCAATTTGTGAACACCTTCTAAAGTCAGGTTATTCAGCCTACGTGGTTAAGCCTTTCAAGTTATCTACAGGGCCAAATCAAATCACTCTAAAAGTTTACTTTTTCTCTACTTGCCAAAGCTCTGGCAATACATGGACAGAAACCTAAAGTATGTGTTTAAAATAATTTTGTTAAACCCTTTTCTTTACCTCATTCAAAGTAATGTTGTTTTTATTTTATTCTATTCTATTTTACCACTTGAATTCATTACACTTCATTTTATCTCCGCCGTCTTTAGCGTTCTCAACATCATACTCTTAATTTTTCTAGACAACACTTGACCTAGTGTTTTAAAATCTTCATACCAGTTCACTTATTTAATAATCTCTAAAAGTTATGTAATTTATCCACCACAATTCTACACCCTTAAACATTGTGTTAATTATCTATACTCTTATCATATGTGCACACTGACTGAGCAATTTCTAGTGTCACCTAATGCCTTTTTCCGTAATATAAATAGTACTGTACAGCTTGCAAATGAGGTTGTTGAAGCAAATATTTCTTCGCTGAACAAAGATTGTGTTTTTCCTAATGACAGATTTCTATCTATCAGGTTAGGACTAAATGACCACATTAAGTACCAAGTCACTACCAAATTCTAGAGGACATGTATATGCTTAGCATGAACGGAAGCAGTCAGACGGCAGCGGTAGTGACAAAGAGTGCATTGTTTTCAGAAAGTAATTGAATGCTTAACTCTGATTATTCCATGATAAGTAAATGCTAGTTAAAATCTTTTTCAGATGTTTTTTGAAAGAGGTCAAAGTCTTAACCAGCTGTGGTGCTGTATTATTTATTTATCTATCCAATGAACAAGTGTATTGGTGTTGTCTGAATTTAAGTCTACATTTCATGTTAATTTTTTTTATTTTGAATAATTAGAGCAAACAGTAGTTTTCAGTATTTTCTCTCAAAATTCTGCACTTATGCACCCATTAATTTCAGCATACAATAGCTAGCAGAGGCATATTAGAATTATATCAGAAAGTCCATTGCGTGGTACAAGTACAAGAACAAGCGAGACAGGACAATAGTGATTAGTTATGAAAACAAATTATGTAGTTCAATGGAGTGTCTCTTTTCGGCCAACTCATTTTCTTAGCTGTACAATGGCAAATATTTATGAGTTATTTTACACGCACGTGTACATTAAGTTTGTCAAACAAAAATGCAACTGGTTATGGTTATTTTAACTAAACAGGTGAAAATTTGTAAGTTTTGCGTGCAGTTACTTGATACAAAAACGGTCAAGAAAATTGGGTGTTAATGAAACTATTGTAGTAACAAAGGTGATGAGTTGTCACAAACAGTTGTTAAAAAGGAGTTGAGTAATAATATGAATAGTGTGATGATTGAGTTGTACTCAGGATACACATAGGAACAAAGTAGAGAATATGAAAGTACGTAAGAGTTCTAAATGAATACAAGAATTATAAGCACTTATAGAAACAGACAAACAAACAAAATTAAGTCATCAAAAATCAACCAAGTTGATACCATGATAATAGAAGTGGTTGAGTATTTTCTGTCCTATACACAGCTCTGGTTTTTCTATGTGAACGGCCAGAGCTTCAGCAGTACAAAGAAGACGAAACCATATTGCTTTTGGTAGGTTATTCTTGACTCTGTAGATTACTTTGAAGGAGGCGTCCGTTGAGATGGAATGATCAATGTTAACCAGGTGTTCAATCATCGCACTCCTTATAGCACTACTATCGCCTTTTCGCCTTGTTCCCTTGGGTTCCTAGTGGGACATAGGGCTTCAACTGCATGTCTCCACTTGTTTCTGTCTTCAAAAGGGTGGGTAGTGTTCTTGAATCCTCTTTGACAGGATGCGCGTCGAAAGATCGGTGTGCCTGGCTCCACAGCAGCAGGTGAACTGATATATACACATAGAAGTAGTCAGATACGGGATCTTGTCCTTAAGGCTCTGTAGATCAGAGGGCGACTGCAGAACACTATTCTTAGCTTTGCTGCAAAGAATGTTCTTCTCAGAGATGATGTGATCCTTCTCTTGAGAATATCGCTTATTAAATCTCCCTTTAAATCCAAGTTCATGAAGAGTTTCTTTTTCGGAGCAAGGGAAGTTTCATTTTTCCAAATTCTCAGTTTGATATTTTTGTCAATGAATCTCGCTGAGTATCCATTTTGCATGAAGATTTCCCTCAAAGATGTAATTCCGTTTCTAGAACATCGGGACTACAGATACGTCGGATGCCGGTGACAAAGGATTTAATTAAATTCCGCTTTTGTTGAATGGGTACCCAGCTATAGAAGCTTCTTAGTTGACCATTCCAAGTAGCTTTTCTACGGATTGGTCTTCTTAAGGTGCCATCAGATCTTCTTGTTAGTTCCACATCAAGAAAGGGAATTTTTGATTCGTTTTTCATCTCAAGAGCGAATTTTATTGCTGGATGGCAACAGTTAAATGTCTGCAGCAGTAGATTGGGGTAATTACTGTTGTCACAAATAATGAAAATGTCATCTATGTATCTTTTTACACAATCGTAAATTGTCGATGCTAGGCTTTAGTGAACGTTTCTCGAGACTTGCCACGGAGCACTCTTATAGTGGTGGACCCAACGGAGATTCCATTGCAATACCATCTTTTTGTCTGTAGATGGTGTAATTACTTTCAGAGTGCATCTCTGTAGTAATTCCTTAGAATATGCTGTTGGCACTCCAATAATTGGATGGTTCCCATCTATATATTTACATATAAAGCAGACCGTTTCCGTGAGTATTTGTTTTCTGTATTACGTAACTCCACCCAAAACTTACTAATTTTCACCTGTTTAGTTAAAATAACCATAACCAGTTGTATTTTTGTTTGACAAACTTAAGGAGCACAAATTAGCTGTGAAAAGACATGATATACATTCTTTCATATCAATGCATGTAGATAATTATGGACATCAGTTTGATTGGGATAATGTCGAAATTTCAAACACAGGAAACATTCAATGTGCCAGAGAATTCCTAGAAGCCTGGTACTCAAACGAATATGCGATTAAAAAACATGTTAATATAGACCAAATCTTGATTGGACACTAGTAACTAGTGTGATGTGTATAGTCCTTTCTTTGGTGCAGACTGAATTCTATCAGTCAAATTTGCAATAGCTCAGTGGTAACGTCTCTGCATGCAGCACTGGGTGACGTGAGTTCGAATCTCAGAAGGGACATGATTTCCTTCAAGGTTGCAGATATGCCTTGCTGACTGGTGAGTGCCGACTAGGACGAAACCTAGGTCTTAGGTTTCCTGCCGATTGCCTTCAACCTTCTAATATCATAAACCAAATCTACCAACTAATAAAAAGTAATTCATGTGACGAGAAAGTTTAAAATCGAAGTCAATAAAGAGTGATGAATACATATGTAAAGATGGTTACCGGGACACGCAATTCTATCACTCATGCAGGGTCTAAATTAGTTCACTTTATGCTAAAAATTGCGCTGAAAATGTCCAGAAGGACGACGAAATCTCAGCAACCAACTCAGAGAACACTACTAATTGTAAATCATATATATTTGCGATTGTACAGCTAAGAAAATGAATTTCCTGAAAAGAGACTCTTCTCTGAACTACTTGTTTTAAAAAAAATCAGTTTTTGGATGTATTAAACAATTATATAACACTATTTACCGGGTAACATTTCCTGCAAGATTTGTTGTTTATATTAACATCAAGCTGTCTACATAAGTTCCACAGTCTTTTTTGATAGTTCTGTTTTTCTTTACTGCATCAATTTTATTGGTCACAGAGGTTTCCAGTTATTTGCAGTGCGTTTTAAATCATTACGGTCATACACATCTGCAGGTAATTCTATGAAAAGACATTCAGCATTCCACCTTTCTTTTTACTTAGCTATACTGGATTTTTTAAAACTTTCAACCTCTGCCAGTCTATAGTCTGATTAGGAGTTAGTGTACGCATTGAAATATCTGGACAATTTCTTCAGTTATTTATCTAGAATTAAACTGTCTATATTTAGCAAAATTTTTGTATTATGATATTCTGACAGACGGCAATACTACCCTACTGTGGTTATTCGTTTCACTTGTTATAATACAGAAGTTTTAAATGAATAGCTATTGTGATAAAATACTGACGACAGTCGTCACATTCTCTAAGCAAAAATGAAGATAAAGCCCGTTTTAATTAACACGTGTTATAAAATGTCACTAAAAAAGGAAGTTTATCCAAGTGTGAATTATAAAATAAAGTACAGCTATCCTACTTTAATTAATTCATCCTTGAAGTTTGCTAAAATCTTCATTCAAATCTAAACAGTACTACAAACTGTATAAGATTCATGTAAAAAAAAGAATCTATTCAAAAACTAAAATATAATTTCAAAATAAGTACATTATACAAACGGATAGAAAAAGTCAGTGGGCAATCGTAAAAGGAAATAGGGAAGCAATTTTTCACGAATTTCTGTCACTGGTGTTACATCAACAAATCGTACTCGTTGCGTTATTTCAATGTTAACATTTGGTTTCTAAACAAGAAATTGAGAAAAAAAGGATATTCTTTGTTAACCCTATGTATAAGTCTAGATTCTTTAAAAATTCATCTTATATATATAAGAGTGGAAAATGAGATCTACTTTTCTAAATGAAGAATATTTATACTGTGTGAATGGAGTTATTCCCTTTTGACAGCTTTCTCACTTTATTTTTCCGTGTTTTGTTTCTGTGATCTGTGAATAAAAGCACCCACTGTCTAGCAGTGCAAGAATTTAAACTAATGGAATCTTATACAGATTTATTAATCGATGTGTCTATTTATAATCGATGGTTCAGGTTACTGATATTAATAATCATAGTAGCTTTATTCCGAACAGTACTTTTGGTATAAATATGGAATTTTCAGCATTTAATACAATATTGCATCTGATTTTCTCATCACAGGGATAATAATTAAAAATAGGGCATTTACATTAATGATGTTGTTCAAAAAGAAATGAATATAAAGTTCAGTCAAATGAAAATATTAACGACAATTTAATAATCAAAACAAAAAAACAAAGGCCGTTTACTTAGAGGTCTGCAGTAAGTTGGTAATTTTCTGCCTTACACTTTTCTCATCGCATTAAATGTGTGCTAAATAAGGTATTGCCATGTTTTTGTACTCAGTCGTCCAAGCGTACAGTGTTTTATAGTTATTTTTAGTTCTACCTGATAAGATGCAAGGGGAGAGATGTGAATAGAGGGGATATTCAGAGTATGATAAGATAATATTTGCTAATTTATTGTAGGAATCCAAGTGTCTATCTACAATAGTATTAACGAATTCGTTTAGTAACATCCGACACGCCCTACTGATGGTTTTTAGTGCCCTACGCAGTATAACAAAGTCTTTCTTAAATTACCCGGGAAAGACTAAAATGGAGCACTAGAGAAGTATAGGCAGAGTACAAGAATTAACAAACTATAATAGTAGAGACAGAATGATCCCAGACCGTCTTAACTTCCTTACGTAGAACCTCAAACGAAATGTCTTTCTGGAAACTAACATGATATGGGAAGACCAGGAAAGATGATGAGAGGAAATACAAACTCAAAGGTATTTAGCATTCGATTTAGTTTCAACTTCAGTGACATATAATATAGTGGAGCCGTGCGAACTAACCAGTTCATGTAAGTCGCGTTTGCATCTGAAAGTGAAATGAACCATATGACATTTGGGGGGATTTAGTTTAAGACGATTTGACGATGACCACTGACTAATTTCTGATAAAAAGCAATTCACTTTCGAACAGTCTGACTGAGAAGTAACAGGCATAGAAACAGTCAGATCATCGATATACTTAACAAAGTTGGCTTCATCAGAATAGGGTCAGTCATGTAAAAAGAAAGAAAACAGAAAGGGAGGAAGAACAGCTCCCTGAGGAACACCAGCCAGCTTCTTATCAGAAAAATAGGAATCCAACCACCTGGTAGTCCAGCTAGGCTTTACAGCAATACAAAGTATTAATCAGTAAAAATATTAGTAATAATGACTTCGTTTCAAAAAGAACTTTTCATACAGATATGGAACTTTCAGCATTTGAACAATATTGCATCCAATTTCCTCATTACATAATACAGGGGTAATAATTAAACAGGTCATTTACGTAGATAACATTGTTCAGTAGGAATATGAACAATGTTATTAAAGGCGAATCAAAATTAGATCGGAAACTGTATTGGAGTAAGAGTAAAAAAATAGAATAATAGCCCTCTAGTTTTGATTATCTGTTAAATGTATATAAAAGTGTATAGTCATTAAGATAAAAAGAGACTAAACAGTCAAGTGACATGCTTTTGTACTTATAATTAACAAAAATGTAAGTTCCAGGTGGTGAGTTATTGTTATGAAGTTGCGACTTTATTATTTCCACGCAGTAGCATCGAGATTGGAGTAACACAGGGATGCCGAACTCGACACAGGCGTACTGATCACGAATACTGCTTGATTAAGCTACCAACAGTACACGTCAGCTACCTGTTTTGTGTGTGTGCGCCTATCAGTGTTCGAAGTATATCACGCAAATACGTCACATTCTCCGTCTTCTAATAACACAATCCAAATTAAACTTAGTAATTAACTTACACAGTGACACGCACACACATAACCTTCCACTCCATTTTTCCTCACTGTCTTCAATATTATCATTCATTCATGTGGAGTTTATAATTAGTATGAATAGAATTCAATATGAAAATTAGTCACGAGTCGTTGTCTCTATTTATCCGTTGTTACTCATGTCCATTTACTTGGGCATACAGGTGTTCAGTGTAGTGTTACAGTTATGCATATGTTTTGAACTATAATCTGTTAACAATCTATAACTCTTGATATTTTGATGTCAGTGCTACGATATTATTTTTAAAAAAAAAACATTTAATGAAGTCAACAGAAATAATTCCTTAATTATTATGACTATGTAATTGTGGGGCCTGATGAAGAAGTTATAGAATGGAATGTTCTTTGTTCAGTAGTCAGTCTTTTGAAATTTCTAATGGGTACCCTTACTCAACCGGACTAATTATTAGACGTTTTATTTTATCATTGTGAACCATGCTAGTTGAGAAGCTGTTGTAAAGAAACCACGAAATGATATCATCTCGCAATATTTGTCTTCTTATTGACTTATTTAAACTTATCAAAGGACTAATTGTTTCAATAATGAGACGTGAAAATATCACATGATTACGTCCCTGGTGACCTAATAGTAGACCAAGGTTAACCTAGAGGATGAATGTACTTTTCCCACACCCATAGGTTAGGCTTGTTCTTATTGGTCCACATAGCCTCAGCTAAAGTTAGGAGACGTAATTACTTACCTTTCGGCAGATTGTTCAGCAAATGCTGTACGATTATAAATGACTCATACATTTGAATGTGTTCACTATCCACTAACTGAGATAAGGTGAAACAATCTATTGATTTTCAAGTATTGGTTTTGTAGGGATTTAGTTTGATTGGATAGAAAAGTTCATCATAGATTTGTTTACTCCTTTTCCAAATGAAATTGTCAAGTGCTCACGAGTGCCTACGTATAAATTCCTCTGAGTTCTGCAGTAACATTTAAATGTGTATATACATATTCATGTGTTCATCGTTAGTCACTATATGTCTGGTTGAGTAACTGGAGTGTAATTCGAAGGCATTGGAAGCTCTTTCAATAGATATACTTAACCTGTGACTTAGTATATTGCTTGATAGTGTCGCCTTTGAACTGCACTCCTAAGTAGACCTTTTAACGCATTCCGTTTCGTTTTACTGTTTTTTTAGACGTATACTTACTTGAGAAATTGGTAGGATAACCACTTTGTAGCCCCGAACTTTCCAGGTTTTCTATTTTATCTTTAATACAATCCTCGATACACATGCGTCTAATTCTATGAGTAAGACAATTAATTAAATTCCGTGTTTACTGCATGGATATGAAAGAATGGGAATGGATATATTGTCAATCCCACGCAGCTTTCCCGTAGACATTTCTCTTTATCTACCCGTCCACACTTTTATTAGGAAGAACATCCGTAGAAGAAATGCTCTCTTGATATTCTTCTTCGCGAGTGAATTTAATCGCTGTGTGAAAGTTATTGAAGACTTGCATTAGATCGTGTTTTTTCAAATTCTTATCCCAAAAGATAAACGTATCGTCTATATAATAGCAATAATATTCAAGTTTATTCAACATCTCTCTTAAAGGACCAAGTAACAAAGGCGGAATCTATAGTATCCCTATCTATTTATTGGTAAAACTTCTTGTTAAATGTAAACTGAACGTTCTTCGTACGTTTTAGCAATAGCTTTTTCAACCTGTAACTGTACAGCCATGAGAAGAGAAATGTTATTGAAAGCTACCTTCCAATGAAATTATTCTTGTTCTAAGTTGATAATTTTGTTGACCATTCGCCCATATCACATCCTTCTTATTGTTTGATAAGTCTGATCTACGTCACTGTGTCCACAGATTGGATGTTCGTCTGACGAACACACTTTTAAAAACTTCCTTGCATTTCAACGTTTCCTTTGCCTAAAATTTTTATATTTTCCAGTCGAATTTGTGTTCGCAGTTGTCAGCATGTACTGATATGAGGGAATGGATATCATGTCATTCGACAGTTGGTCTATGATGGTGAATGAGTACGTGAAGAGGAAATCCACCTTATTTAATATTAACATTCCTCATAATTATTGAAATTTATCTTGCAGATGATATTGACTTATGCTTTATTTATCGTTGCGTCTTTTGGTGGATAAAATACAGGCTAGTTATTTTGTATAGAAGAAAGAAAGCTGCAATCAGTGTGTCTCTACACTAACATAGATCAGATTTATCAAACAATGAAAAGAAACTGACACAGACAAAGGGTCAACAAAATAATGAATACCACTACAGGTGGTAAACGAGAAGATAGGGGAATCTTCAGAGACAACTGATCACTCTCAGTATCATTAAACCCATAGAATAATCCGTTAATTACTCATCTCAGAAACTAATTTTACCATCGGCCAATGACATTGGCAAAAGAATATAAGATTCACCAACTGCAAGAAATTTAGAGTGCAGTTATACGACATAGACGGAAAGTATTCGAATCCTTCAGTCAGACTCCATCTGAATTCTGATTCAAGTGTGATTTAATTTCGTTGAACAATCCACCGACATATGGAGAAACTTCAGCGGAATGAATCAAGTGCAAAAGATGAATAGGATTCGTTTCCACACTCAACGTGTATTATTTCTCTCTTAAAAAATACTTTGCAGAAATAAATAAGACATTCTTTAATAAACTAAGTAAACTTGTTATGTCCTATGTGAGAATTCATTAATTCGTGCATTGAAACTAATTGATTGGGATGATTTAATGATCTAAATAAACAATACATTCCTGTCTGTTTTTCTCAGGAAAGTGCAAAAACAATGACTTTAACTGCTTATTTAAAAAGTGCTCTGCTAAATTTATTTTCTATTATATTACTCAACATTATAATTAGCAGCGATTAAATAAACTTACCATAAGGAAGATATCACCGTAAATATAATTACTCTTAGCTCCAACAATTTGATTCTGAGGCAGTTTCATTGAACCATAGCGTGAATATTGTATTTCAATCTCTTGACCAACTAATAGTTGATAACAATATCTAAAAAGATCAATTAGAATACACTTGTAGACTGCACCATAAACCTAAACAATAAATGAGTTATATAGGTCATACTAGTAGTTTACAGTAAACTTTTCCGAAGCAGCTTGAGAATTAAGTGATCTCGTGACATGAACTACTGATTTTTGAGAATGAATATATCATCGAATCAATGCATGATTACACTTTCGATCTCAGCTAATGCTAAGAAACTATGGTTTCTTTATTGATTGAATGATAAGCAAGCTCGAGATTAAGACGATAGGATGTGTTAAGGCTTAGTGACATGTATTCAAGAGAGTATTTCATTTATTACATGAACTGCAGTCATGACAATCGTAAAGTGCAAAAGATGATTAAGTAATCAGCCACTGATTCATCACCAGATCTTTCATCTAACTGTTGAATGCTTTCCTTTATGAGCAAAGAATGAAATGTAAGAAGATACAGTTAAGATTTAATACTATCAATAATTTACAGTAAGTCGAGAAAAAGAGTAACAATCAATAAACTTCCGACAATTTTTCTTTTATCGTAATCAGACAGGGAAAATATTAGATGGTTGAAGGCAATCGGCAGGAAGCCCTGGACCTAGGTTTCGTGCTAGTTGGCACTCTTCAGCAAGGCGTATCTGCAACCTTGAAGGAACTCATGTCCCTTATGAGATTCGAACCCGCGTCACCCAGTGCTGCAGTCAGAGACGTTACCACTGAGCTATTCGGGCTCGCGATTGACTTCCTGTAGGACTGTAGTGGATATTTTGATTTGACACTAGTAACTAGTGTGATGCGTCTAGTCCTCTCTTTGGTGCAGACTGAATTCAATCAGTCAGGTTGTAATGTGGCCACCATTCTAGGTAGCTCCCAGCGATTGCCTCCAACCATCTAATATCATCACAAACAATGTACACCGTGATGGCGAGCTACCTAGAATGGTGGCCACATTACAACCTGACTGATAGAATTCAGTCTGCACCAAAGAGAGGACTAGACGCATCACACTAGTTACTAGTGTCAAATCAAAAAAGACAGGGAGAAAACGGTTCACGGTCAGTAATAAACAAAGTCGTACGATTATAATTGATATGATTATGAACAATAAATTCTGTTCGAAACGTCATGCAGTAAATAATACTGTTTCACTGTGTGATATATCAAATAAACAAACTAATATGGAATAACAGTAATAAAAATTAGACAAAGTAAGAAGAAGACGTAATTTGTGTGAATCGTGTAATGGATTTGCTCAAGACATTTCGAACAATCTGATCACACACGGACTTGTCATAGGAATATGTGTGAAATTATTAAAGAGTTTAGAGGTGAGAAAATAGACTTAGGTCAAGTTAAAAGGACATAGTGAAGGTCAAAATAACAATGAAGATCACTGAACCAAATAACAGGTAATAGTACATCTGCTATGATATCAAAACAAAGTTTACCAAGGAAGGTTTAGTGTGATGACGAATTGTTTCTGTGCTCATAAAGGTGGCTTAAACTTTCTAATTGCTAGCTAGGGCTTCCACAAACTTTAGGATACGCTCCGAACACGTTTTATAGATAGGTTTAAAAGATGTGTTAACGTCAATTTTATGTCCTGTCTCTATTATATGTTTCACAATAGAGGAGCTAGGTCTCCTGTCCTCATCATTAATGGGTTCTGGGGATTTCATTAGCTTCTGGATCCATTTAGGAATATGCTCTACACAAATACATTACACGATTCAGACAAATTACGTCTTATTGCTTTATCAAAATTCATAAAGGGAACTAATTGTTTTAAAAGTAATAATATTACTAAATAAAGTTCAAGAGAAAGTGAAACACGAAGTACAGTCTAACTCTAGGATGTAAACTGTTTCAGAAAGAATCGGACGTTAACATACTAAATGATATGCAGTCCAATGGAAATGACCAACTATTGTTACTACATTATTGTTTAATACGAAAATACAAACTCACACTACTTTTTTTGGTATTCAGTAGTATGATGCTGAACACAAAGAAAAGTGATTACAATTTAATAGATGTTATATATATTCTAACCAAACAAAACGATATCGTTTTTTCGATAAGGAAAGAAAGACCAAACTTGCAGTATAAAGTGAAATCATTCTATTTCACAGGTTCCCATCAGCCGCTGACTACCTGAAATTGCAATGGTTATTTGGATGATAATAACATACTTTAATGTTTAAGTCTATGAATTGCGTTTATGAATTTACGTGCACTTGGGGGAGCAAGTACATTGGAAAGATGGAAAGAAGGGCTTCTCTCCCCTTTTCTGAACATATTCCAAGAAACCTGTGCCTGAAAGGAAGCAAATATTCTCAGAGTGCAATTACCAGACATACTGTTGATACTAATCATCTCGTAGAGATTTCTAAGTCCTTCAAAATATTAAATAGACAAAGGACAGCAAATTTGCGACGATTTGCCGAAGCGATCGCAATCAAACGATTCAAACCACACTTATGCATACAAAAAGAGAGTGTGATTAATCCCTCACTCCCTTGGTAATTGAATTTTGATTTTGATTACATTAATTGGTCATCTAATTCAGTGATCTCAACTCACTGAGCAAATCTCAATCTTATAAACTGTAACCACTTTTGTTTTTTGAGTTGCATTGTGAACCTACAAGCTAACATTGTTCTGTTAATTAATTTTTTCTGTTCTCTGTCTTACCCTTCCCCCCTCTATTCTACTTTGAAAGCGTATAAATTGATGATTAAAACTAAAAATTGTAATGCTAACATTTTGGATGCGTCAATTTTATAGTATTTCTTCTCTACTACCACTTAAACATTAAAGTATGTTATTGTCATCTACATAACCATTGTAACTTCAGGTGGTCTGCAGTTGATGAGAACCTGTGAAATAGAATGATATCATTTTGTACTACAAATTCGGTCTTTCTTTCTCTATCAAAATTTATCAAGGGAACTAAATGTATGATATCGTTTTTTCTTCATTCACCGAGAAATACAAAAACTTTTATAATAATGGATTAATAGACGTCAATTCAGAAAGGAATCATTAATTTAATTATTCTATTTCTGTATTATTGATTCTAGTGATTCTCATAAGTCTGGCAGCTTCAGAAATAATAAAAGGCCTTTTTATTATGTGGTAGCGGTAGGTAATTCCTCAGAATTATTGGCCACAGCATTCATCACTCAACATTGGATGCTGACCCTCACTGTTTAAGTCAACTTGTTTAGCTGAAGGCTTACGGTCAAGCATCCACTCCATTTGGCACGCTGTCGTATTACGTTCGTTCGTTCGTGCACGACGCCTAGTTAGTTAAGAAATCATCTTTCACTCCGATTTGGTTCGTAATCTGAACTATCAATTCTATTGTTTTGCTCTGCCTTTAGTCTATGCGGAACGAATGCCATAGGAGTTGTGGGTGTAAGATCTTGTATTAGTATACTTTGTACTATCCGTGAGCGTCAATACCCTGAAATTCTAAAATGTCATTGTGGGTCTAATGAAATAATACCGTTACTTATAAACAAAACTTGACTTAGAATAACATCAAGTGATGTCTCCTACGTTGTATGAGCTTCTTAGTAAGACTTGAAGAAACATGGTTACTAAGTTACTAGTTAATTCTTAGCACTGCATGTGAGTTTGTATATATCTGTCTAATAGTTATGTCATATTTTGATGATGGTAGGTATAGGTCAGCTAACTTGATAGTAATTGAAGTAACTGCACATTGTTTTTCTCAGTGCTTTTCTCCTACTAAAAGTTCAGAAGAAACAGTTGAAATTCAATGTGTGAAAAATTTATGTAATAAGAATTATGTACCTAAAAATAAAAATGACTGCTTGAAATTTTCCTAGAAGTTTAATTATGTCTAAGACAATTTCTGCTTTTAGACTGAATTAAATATCATACTTTTCAAGTGCTACTGAAAATGCAAACTTAAAAATCACCAATTTCTTGGGGGGTAAAAATCTCTGACAAACGAAAAAGCATAAAGAAGGATAAGACAGTCTTTGAACAGACATCAGTGATAATTCTGAAACAGTGTTACAATGTTATACTGGTTCAGTTAACCCTTGAATCAAATAATTATCAGAAATCCTTTGAAAGAGGGTAGCTAAAAAGTGAAGTTAAGTATGATTCATAAATTCGCGCTAAGAATAGGGTCAGTACCGCGTTGATTCGTTATCGCAAGAAGACGTTGGATGAAACAAGGAGAATTCTTAACATTCACAACATTAGGGTATATTTAAGCATGTGCACTAGTAAGGATTAAGGATGTAATAGAAAAAGAAAACTAACAGAAATGCGCATAATGAAATAAAATGTGGGTATTGTAATGCTGTGCATTCAGGAGAAACTTCAAGGTAGGTTAATGTAGGAGTAAACGAACACAAATAACACTCAAACATAGTCCCAGAAACCTTAGCAGATTGAATTACGTTTAATAGGAAAGGAACACGAGATCCATATTAATAAGACCAGGCTCCAGTGGAAACATTTTGGTCAGCATTTATGGGAGAATCCTCGATATTGAGACAGACGTAAAGGTATATCAGAAGTCTTGATTAATAAATGCACCTGTATCTTTAGTTTTCACAACTAAATAATTGTCCTGATTATATGCATCGTTTAAAGCGATATATTTTTATTGAAATTACCAATATTTTTCACGTTGATTTATGTAATCTAAACTTCAATTCATTCACTAATGACTTATAACTGCAAGCAACATAAATGTCATTTTATTTTCTTCCGAATATTCAGACAAATGATACGCACTCATTCACAGATACATACACAAATTTTCCAAAATGCACACCCTCTTACTACATGCCATGTTACCATGACACACCAAAGATTGATGTAGACATTTCTTAACCTCATTCAACAGCTAGATGATTATGTCGAGTGATTCCCAAAGAAGACAGAAATATGTTGGGCCGACAGGAAGACTCTAGAAGATCTGGATTTTGCGGATTTTTCAAGTCTAATGCCACACTAACTCAAAAAGTTACAGGAAAAAACCAACAAACCGATAAAAGAAGCAGCAAAGACAGGTCTTCAGTTGAACGTAGAGTAGACGGAAGTGATGAAAATAAACAGCCGACAACGACAACCAGCACCAATCATTATCAATGGAAGAAATCTGAAAGGGGTCACTTCTTCCACTTACCTACAGACATGAGACACAGATGAGAATGTCAAAGTCAACCATGATTGGATAGGCAAGATAGTTCTTCATCACTCTGAAATCAATTTGGAAATCTACTGCACCCAGCATAAAGAACAAGATTCGAACTCCCAACACCAATGTTAAGTCAGTGAATTCTCCAATATGAGTCAGAAACTTGCATCGCGCGTCACAGAAAGCATTTAGAACAGGTTGCAGACTCTTGTCAACAGCTGCATTTACTTCGTATTGAAGATTGAATGGCCGAAAAGAAATGGAAATAAGAAACTCTGGGAACGGACCAACCAAGAAGCTATGGCTCAAAAAATTTCCCGGAAAAAATGGAGTTGCATTGAAGAAATGCTGAGGACACTGTCGAATGACTTCGCGCACCAGGCCACTGCTCGGGTGTAATCCTAATGTGGGACAATGAATTGGGTGTGGGTTCGGGGGTGACAGACAGGAGATTGTTTGAGGAGATGAGAGCTTGTGGGAAATCCTGCAGCTAGGTAGAGGGGACTGCAGAGAACAGAATCAAACAGACATGCTGTTGAGAACCTATATTCCACTCGGGGAACTTCTAGACAGATACACAAAATTTATTTAGTATTTATTACTTTCCTCAAATAGAAAGTGATATCAAGTTCTTCAGAGTACTTCATCAGTGTATGTGATAATATACTAAGGAGATGAACTAACTTGATCATACAGTCTTGGTATGAAATATCAGTCGACATTTTCATTTACGCATATCACGTGATGGATTGAAAAAGCGTGCCACATGTCTGATGAACTTTATGTTAGTTGGAGGAATTTAAAAATCACCGGAGTACCGAAAATCAGAAGTGAGCATATTCTTTTCATTTATCCATTTTATTTAATCCCGTAGTGAGAATATTAGGCTTCTCTGAAATTGTAGTTACAATTTAATGGGAACAGAGCAGACGCATTCGTTCCATGTTCTACTCTAATTGCAAAGTAGTCACTGATTTGAACCTATTTATCTGCAAAATCAATATTTCCTTGTTTTATCTTTTTTAGACATTATTTACTTGCTTATTGCTGTTTCGGAATATTTCAGTTGGTGTACTGTAGGAGTTGTTACAAAATTCATATTAGTTATAGAACAGATAAAACGTTCATACAGTAATCAGCGAATATTCACATTCACAAAAACAAAAAATATTTTCAATTTACACTTAAACTTACCCATTCAATCCTCTAGGAGTGGAAGGAAAATTATCACTAATTAAATTTTGTATAGGTATCCATTCTGAGCTACGATTTCCTTTAGATATCGGCCATATTGCTATTGAGTCTGGCTTTTCCGGTATAAAATTTATACCTAAACCTTTACTATTTTGCCCACTTGCAATCCCAAGAGGACTTAATACGGTCTTCCATATTAAACTTTGGTATTGTACACAACGTGTTGTCCAGTCCATTTCAGGTCTTGTTAGTTTTTCAAACGATGGTAGACTAAAAATATATGAAATTCAAAAAAGCACATGTGCAAACGTTTACTCTTTTCAAACACAAAAAGACACGATGTTGATATTTCCAAAGTAGTCAGAACATAAGGATTATTCATCATTTATCCGAATGATACTAAGTGTTCTACATTAAAACAGTGTTCTTATGTACAAATGAATATATGTGAAATCTGTTGGAGGGTTCATTTTGTAACTATATCATCACTAATATGACAAAGCGGATAAATTGTAAAAGTAGTGCTATGTAATCTAAAAAACATTAAGTGATGAACATAGTTCAGAAATGATTATCAATAAAACAGTAAGCACTTGTACATAAGAATATTATTAGTCATGACCTAATATAGACGCACACTTACTAATAGCACTTTGCAGTTAACACGATTAAGACTGTTCTAAACTATGGCTTATACCCTGGGCTTCCGAACACTAAGTAGTCTGTTAAAATTTCATTCTCGTAGCAGATTACTGTGATGAAGCATTGTTAAGCGAACCTAGTCTGTAATCTCATGTATGAGGGGGGGGGAGAGTTACAGTATAGTCTAAATTGATCATGAAGGTGTTTGTAAATCAAAGCGATAGCTGCTTAGTATTCACAAAGTTTTGTGGATATTTTATCGGGTATTTTATCATAATTGTAAAATGTATGTTTATGGATTAAGTTTCATCATATAGTTTTTAAACTCAGTTTATTCATGACCTTTCCTCATATTTCACATCACATTTCAAAATCGTAAAGATTATTAGTGAAGGGACGAATTCTAATTATTAGAAAGAAATCCAAAACTTTAGACACCCTTTGGGCCAAAAAGTCATATACAAAAGGAAGAAAAAGTTATCTGCTTTACAGAGTGTAGTTGCTGAGGTTAACCATCACATCTTCAGATGTATCTCAGGTGTCTGAAATGCTCAAAGGAATCTATCAACAAAGTACTCGAGGTGACTATATGGCGGAGTTACTCTCTACTATGACGTTATTTTTTGATTATCAGTTGCTCAAATCATTCCGTGGAAGAAGGAAATGCGGTATTTATTAAACCGATCGAACTCATCCTCTCTCTTAGACTGCTTATGCAAGCTAGCTGTACTATTTTGTGGAGCTTATTAGTAAAATACCACTTCCGAAATAGTTGTAGTATTTTGCAGACTCAAGGCAATCCACTTGTGCTTAAATGTGGCAAATTTTAAGACGTCGGTATAGAGAAAAAAAAAATAATAACCGCAATTCTTCAAGTTGGCTGATCTCAATATGCATTTGTATTATTCTAGTACCGAATGTTGTCAGACAGTGACTTACAGTTAAATTGTTAGATTATGAAACGTTCTAAAATGCTGTATCAATGTTGAAATCACTAGAACAGAATTCGGATGTACATTTCCGACCTAATATAAGGATTAAGCTATTACGATTGAGATGTTGAGTCTTTACCAAATGAAAATTACTTTCATGCCGATTGGTCTTTGGAACCAAGTGAATTAATCTTGACGATTAACTTTTAGGAATACCTGCATGATGCTTTGTACTACTGATTATTTGACATGAGTAGGTAGATTCAACTCACAACAACCAGTAGTGCTTGCTAGGCAGATCGAAGTGATTTACACACTATTTATAGTATCAACTAGATCACGTACAGTAATCTGAATAATTTTGGTTTCCAAAGAAAAATGTGCTGCAACCAAGAGGAAATCTCATTTGACTTATACGTACTACTTTTAGCGCCCACTATTTTCGAGCTTGGAGAAACTTACTTGACCTACGTGAGAAGCTGGGACTGTCTCTTGCAGTGCAATAGTCACAAATATGACAGCAATGCTTTTCATGACACAATCAAGGACATACAGGGATAGGTCAAGTGCATGGAGCTTAAGACATTCATTTCAGCATATGAGCTATCTACAGAGCTAAAGTTTGGAAGAATAAAGACGAACTCAACCAGTCCATGTTGTGAAAGCATAACATTCTGTAAGTATACTGGATGCCATTTTCATCGAATACATGTATTTCCCAGACAATGAAGTTTTCATATAGGCTCAGATTATTCAACAATATAGTAATTATTAGTAACTTAGTTACAGTCATTCTTTTTGCAGTTGTTAATCTTACTGAATACTTTGATCAGACTTCTACGATGTTCTTTATTATTTTACCTAATATTATACAAGACACCTCAAAAGAAACATTATAAATTGCTTTAAGAAAACTCAGTTGACCAATTATTTTCTTAGTGGCTCATTATTTCACACTGACTTTAAATATACGTCAAACAAAATAAATTTAGTTTGTCAACTTTCATGTGTGTTGGTGGCACAGCGGCTAGGACGCTCGCCGACCATGCACATGGTCTGGGGTTCGATCCCCGGCCGACGCATACCCGATATCAATGGTCGGCCTGCAAAATTTGGGCTACCGATATCATATGCTGAGAATTTCATACTTGTATCAAAAATACTAAATGGAGTCAAGTTATAATAAAAAATTTTAAAATATTAAAAAGATATAACTAACAGTGGTTCCTTCGTCAGTATCTGAGACAATAATTCCTTTAAGATTACAAATATTATATTATGATTAATGGTATCATGAAAAAAAAACTGCATCAATGATTTAAAAAAAGCTTATAATGGTGATTTGTGTCGAGACAGTCTGCTCACAATAAACTATAATACGCAGTTTGTTTTAATAGCTTTATTTGCCTTCCAACCTTGAGTTTTTCTAGAAAGAAGTTCAACTAGAAATTGCCTTTAAAGTATGATTGAAGGTGACACCTAGTTTGATGTTATAGGCTTCATGTAAAGACTTAGGCTCACAGAGTGTGACAACTTCCATAAGCCTAAATGAAAATATTAACCATTGTGTTAACAATTGGTTAGTCAATAAGTAACAGTATTTCAATTAATTTGTCTCATTTGCTCTGAAATAAGCTTAAAACCCTAAGGTCTTTATCTTATGATAAAATATGAACCAACTGATTTTATTTTAAGGTTATAGAAGAGGATACAAAATTAAACACTAATTTACTTTAGTATACATCCACTAAAAACATCTTCACCAAATCGAATGGGTTCTACTAAAACACCTTTATCTTGTATAAGTGTTCCACACTGACCACCGGCAAGAATATTCCACACTCCATTGTTTAGCGTTTGCTTTACACCTTCAATAGAAAGCTTGACATCAGTCGTAGGTATCATAGTGGTCACTGTACCAGTGTTTCCAGAATATCCGAGCGAAGTTAGTTCAGTTCTGTTAACTTTAGCAGAGACTATTGGATGTCCAATCAGATAACCAGGATTTCCACTTAAAGGTACTGAGTTGGATGAATTCGCCTAAGAAAAAATATTCAAGCGACAAGTAGTCAGCAAGTATTTTGAAATAAGAGCAATTTTTTATGTAGAAAAGTATTTTTTTTCAGATAATAACAAATATTATTTTAGAAATGAATTCACCGAATTTCACTTTTTGTTGGCAGTGTATAACCAAGGCTTGCATGAATTCTTAGAATAACTTTGGAATATAGATATAACCCTCCTTGCTGACAAGACAAACTCGATAATGGCAAAGAAGTAGGGAAATGCGTTATATTACTAACAAATCATGGATTTAAGGAAAGGATGAAGTGCATACACGTTTGATTGCATTTGAGCGGCATCATATCAAAATTTTAGCCTCTCATCCTAGCCGTCTCACTTGCCTCAGTTGAGAATTCCCGAATTTTATGGACGCCTCATGTTACATGTTTCAATCCCAACCGATAGCTGCTTTATTCACATGGCGGTTGGTCTTGCGTACCGCAATGACCCAACAAGATGCAGTGGCTGCACCCAGTGTTTCTATAGATTGTACCATGCCATGAAGGTCGTCTAGATAGCTGTTGCAGTAAAAACTTACCATAATATTGTAGACCACTAACACCATGTTATGGGTCTGAGGGGATGCATTGGTACTGGTATCGAACAGAAGTTTGGCAGCAATAAGTTTTCCCTCTCGGACAAATAAGCTAGTTATGCTTCCTTTCTTTTCTAGGGATGAGAGGTTAGCAAAGTTCGACCTCGACAAAGTGACATGACGATCTACTTTGAGGCAGTTCGGAGACAAAACAGTGATATGGATACAACTCCAAAAACCACATCAAAGAGACAGTGCATGAGTGGCCTTAAGCACCAATCCCATGGGCTCTGCGCTCATTCACCACTAATGCTTCAAGAAGAAACCAACTTCCACGGTGTGAACAGCAAGGAATTAATAACCACCCATACTCCCATAACTACACAAAGCTTTCCTGATCATCACTCACCTTCATACCATAACTTTCATCTTCTCTCTTTCCTCTCACTGTTACTAATTTTCCACAAGTATGTTCTTTTTGTAACTCGACCATTAGTAGCAAACGGAGCAAGAAAAGCACTGCTCCAGTCTCTAACGACCACTGAGCCAACTTCATATCTGAGCTTTCGAAAGCCGAACCTTATGTCAAATCGGTATAGGTTGTATTCTGGAGACATGCATACAATAACCAAGTGTTATTATTCGCTTAACCCTACCTGACCAACACGGCGAACCTACAAAATTCACCATATAGGTATCTTCAGTCAGCGTGGAATTGACAATGTAGGAAAAATATTGATTGCAAAGGAACAGTCTTGTCAAGTCAACGTGTGCAAATGATACAGACCTTCTAGGTGAAGAAGCCAGCAAAATGCAGTCTCCTGACCACCCTTAACAGAAATCTTGGTATGTTCATCAAACACTTCACCCTTGTCAAATGTACGATGATGCTGTAGGACTGGTGTTCAGCGACCCTTCGTTTTAGAGCAAGAAGTAAAATTTTCGAGCAGATTGGCTACTTTACTTTTCGAAAGTTTTATCAGCACTAGTGGGCTGATTACTGAGGAAATCTCAGCACGAGTACAAAAGTCTCCTGTGGCGTTTGTCAGCTTATGTCATCTCCGGAGTAGACGTAATAGAATAAAGGCTGTTTGTCAAAAGGTGTGTCCACCACTCAGCAGTTTGCCCCTCCTTCTTTAGGACTGTCAGACATGGCTGTTGAAAGTGGAAGGCATGAAGAGACTATCTGTCTTTGATCACAGATATCTGCGTCCTACCTTTCACGTTAAATGGCATCACATGATGAGTAACGTAGAGGTAAAGAGTAGAGTGTTAGGTGAAGAGGGAAAACCGATCGACGGGTTTGTGAAACTGTATCGATTAAGATGAAGAGTACACATGTCACGCATGACGAGCCTCTCCCTTCTTCGTCGAGTAATGTTAGCTGACATAGAATTAAGCTGGAAACGGGAAGAGATAATCAAATGAAAACATGACATCAATCCATGAAGTCTTTGACTGCTGGTTTGAACCACGTAGGGAGATGAAGACTTCCTGGTTAGGAATGTTGAGATGCTAAGATCCAATGACTGGAGACTATTGGAGATATGCTTCATATTCGTGTTCACTGGTGTGGATGCATTCACCCATTAAACTCTCATTGTTCTCCATGTAATTATTCCTTCTCTCACAAAATATATCTTTATCGTAGTTCATTTGTATTTCTTTTTTTCCTCTACATTTAAGTAGAAATCAACAGTGCATCACTTCTCGTATATATATATATATATATATATATATATATATATATTCATATATATACTGCCCTCTTTAAGGATGATGGTCCATATATAATAGGTCAGAAGAAGAATACTTTCGGACTAATCGCCACCTAACTGTCTCACAGTACTACTATTTGAAGTACAACTTTCGATGTTACGTTAAGTATACAAAATGAGTGCATTAATATTATTTATTTGGATGAAAGAATGTCTTTTCTGGAAAGGTATGAGGTATGAGGTTGGTAATACCAACCTCATACCTAAAAGAGTTGTTATTAAGGTGCACACTCAACGTACAATTTACGTTCAACGACGTCATCTATAGACAGAAAGACGGGATTGCTATGGGCTCTCCCCTTGGCCCACTCCTAGCAGACTGCTTCATGGCCAGCATGGAAAACGGCATCCTTAAACCAACAATGAACAAATTGTTGCTGTACAAAAGATACGTCGATGACACTTTTATAGTTTGTCAAGACGATTCCGACTTAAATTGCATCTTACAGGAGTTTAATAACTGTCATCCTTCAATTAAATTCACAATGGAAGTTGAAAATAAATCAAAGATTCCATTCTTGGACGTCGAATTGACAAGAAGAGACAACGGAACTCTGAAAAGATCTATCCATAGAAAACCAACATGGAATGGCCAGCTGACAAACTTCTACAGTTGGGTACCTATCAGCCGTAAAAGAGCTCTCATCATCTCACTAGCCCACCGCACCAGAAGAATCTGCAGTGATGACTGTTTAGAAGAAGAGCTCCTATTCCTAAAAAGCATCCTGATTCAAAACGGATACCCGCCACGTTTCGTGGAGAAGAACATGAAACCAAGGACAAAAAGAGAAGAATACATTTCAGTGCAAAAGAAGACACTCTATCTGAATCTGGAATTCAGGGGAGACCTGGCAGCAGATATCCTTAAAAGGAGAATCTCCAATTCCCTGAAGAAGACTTTTCCGGCAGCAACTCTAAGAGTGACATTCTCTAGCCGCCCACTTCTTCGGAGCAATGGGAAGGACAAACTGTCGCATATGGCCAATTCAATGTGCATTTACCAGTTCACCTGCTCGTGCGGAGCAAGGTACATAGGTCGTTGTATGCGCGTCCTTTCAAAACGTGTTAGAGAACACTACCCAGCGTGGCTGCAAAGAGGAGGCACCGGTTCAATCAGAAGTGCCATTACTGAGCATCTGATCAATACCTCCCACAACATCTCAACTGATTCATTCAAAGTAATTTACAAGGTCAACAGAAACCTACCGAAAGCAGTTTGTTTCCGACTTCTCTGTACTGCAGAAGCCCTCTCAATATGCATCGAGAAGCCGGAGCTGTGTGTCCAAAAGAAATTAGTTCAACCTCTACAACTACCATGGACTTAGTCCGGTATGTTACCGTAGCTTCCATTTTTGTTTCTGTTTTTGTTTTTGTTTTTTGATCCCTTTTCGTTCTCTATGTGTGTGATTCTTACTCCCTCAGTCTTCATTCGATTCACCCCATTTTTTTTCCAGTTATAAAAACATTTATTTTAAGTTTGTTTCCATGCTTTTCCTGTTCACATTTATAATCCGTTTTTAAAAATAAAAAAAATTTGCAATTATATCTTAATCCTGTGCAATTATTTTGTGTTTCTAAGGCTCTTGTAATCTATATTCACACCTCCTAACTTCCATTTTAAGTTAAAACTATTATATCAATTTTGTTTCCATGCTCACTTTCTGCACACCTGTAATTTGCTAAATTCCATGTAATTTTGTTTCTAAGGCTCTTGTAATCTATATTCGCACCTCCTGATTCCCATCTCAAGTTGAAAATTATTATTTCAATTTTGTATCCATGCTCATTTTTACACTCTTGATATCCGTTCTAATCCTGCGTAATTTTTGTTTCTAAGCCTCTCGTATAACCATATCTAGTTGGAAATAATTATCACCTTTTATTCGCTGTCATAATTATGTAGAATCAAACAAGAATTGTCTCCATGTAAAATTATGTATTTAAATGCGATTGTACAGCTTTTGAAAATGAAATCGCCGAAAAGATATCTTTGCTGAACTTCTTATTCTTCTCAATCTAATGTTCCAATGGGTATTTTCCACGATTTGAAAGAAGAAAACGTGAAATTTGAATATATCAGTACACATTAGTTACCTAACACCTTCGTCCAAACAATCATCTGTTTCCGACTGGTTCTAACTTCAAAAATAAGCAGAAACGCCGATATCAAGTCAAGAGTTGATGATCATAAACTGTTACTCTATGAGTTATCATCGAAGGGAATTTGTGAGACCGTTGAATATGTCTTCTCCATTCGGAAGGTCCTCCAACACAAACATATTAACCTGTCGTGAAGTCGAACCACGAAAGTAATTGTATTTTGAAATCAAATACAAAGTTTTATATACGGAAGCTTAATCAGTCCATCAAATCGATGAACGATGTTATTTGAAATTAGATCAAGTTAGACAAAGGTTAACTGGTGGTCACATCAGCGGATGAAACTAACACGTGTGGTAACTAACCGTTGACCTGAGTTACGTAACTCTGTGTAGGCTATCTGTCTGAGGGAGTTGTCACGCTGAGAAATGATGGTTAGAGACTCTGTATCACAAAACCTTTCACAAATGTGTTTGCATATTTTAGTGTAGTTTTGACATATTATACATATATACTATTCAAACCTACGCAAGTGTCTCTGCTTATCTGCTTGTCTACCTGATCACCAATAAACTCACTACAAACTGTAGGGTAGTGATAAATAAAAACGATTAGAAACAGAATATTTTACTGATATATTTATCTGTTAAAAAACAAAGAACCCAATAACTTTCTCATTTACACCTACCTGTTAGTTGAAATGTGTCTAACAACAAACTGTTATGTTATAAGTGATAATGATGATGTCCCTATGTGTAATACAAATAAAACCACACTGCTGGCCACCACTTTTTAGTGGTAATTCATAAATAATAACATTAGTATTTGTAATTATATTTGTGGCTCCATCAAGTACACCTAACGCAAAAGTGATCAATTGCTAAAAGCCTTAATATTATACATCCTTAAACTTATTGTTTAAATTGAGCAAAAAGGTATCTAAGACATGCATAAATTTAGTCTGATGTTCACAGAGTGAGGAGGATGTCTGTCTGTCTGTTTTCGACATAGAACTTTGCACCTATGTGAGGCAGTTCAAGTCGCCACACTCCATGTGGCACACAAAGCAAGAGAAGTGAGGAGGATACTAAAATAAGATCGTGTTTATTTAAAATATTTGTGAGAGTTCAATTTTGTTTTCTCCTACTGCTAAAGTTGGCGTTTTTTCATCAAATTAGCGAGAGAGTAAATTGAGAGAAAATTTCCTCTATGGAATAAACATAGTCAGCCAAGTGAAATATCGACTCAATAGTGGGAAAAATTCACTAGGTAATAAATGAGAGACAAGTGTAAAATATGTGATATAAAATTGAGTAAATGTAGAATTTCACGAAAACGAATTTAAAGCTACATATCGTAAAAGGTTTGGTCATGTAACCAGTTATTTAACAAATTTTTTTCTACGATAAACTGTAAAAATAATATTTCTAACCTGGACAAATTCAACTTCATATTTCTGTACAAATGTTTCCATTACATCGCTATATATAGCTTTTATTTCAATCCCCGTAATCAATCCAATTACTTCATAGGTAATTTTGAAGTATACCTTTACATTTAAAAAAAAGCAGATAACATTTCATTCACTGCATTTCATATTTGAGTATTACAGCTTGAATGCGTGACACAAACACTACAGCTTAGTTTGCTGAAAAAACTGCAGTTTGACCCATCTCAAGCAAGTTAACAAAAAACATATGTAAGGCTAGCAATGGATCTCAGTGAAAACATTGTTTGGTAGCCGCTTCCAGCTTCCTTTTATAAATCCTAAAAAGTTTTTCTAGGTGTATCCTATGAAATAATTTATGTAAAGTAATTACAAGACACAAGCTTTTTCCTTCCTATCCAGATATCTTAGTAGAAATGACTGATTATCTTTTTAATGCAGAATTTAGCACAAATGTGTAGTAGTTCAAGTTGCCACATTTCGTAAAACCCATATCAATGTATATAATTATTCCCGTCGATTCTTAGTGGACCTTAGGGTTGTCTGCAGTCCCCTCTACCTGGTTACACGATTGCCTATAAGCTCTCATCTCCTGCTCACACAGTCTCCTCTGCGTCACCAGTGAACACATACCCAATTCATATTCTCCCATTTGGGTTCCGCTCGTAGGTCTCACGCGCGATGTCGCTCAACAGTTTCCTTAGAATATATCGAATTCATCTTCACTTTCTTCTGCATATTTCTTGGGAAACATTTTTCGGCTGATTCGTTAACACAGTTCCTCGTTGGTTATCCTCTCTCACCATCTCGTATTTAGTATCGAACGAAGACAGAAGTTGATGAAAGCCCACAATGCCCTGCTGGAAATGTTTTCCGTTGCGCGCCAAGCCTTTGAACCATATAGAAGTACTCACTATTTGATATTAGTTTTCAAAATTCGGATTTTGTTCTTTATGCTGAGTAGAGCAGATTTCTACACTCATTTCAGAGTAACGAAATTCTGCATTGCCTTTCCCATAATGTGTTTGACATTGCTATCTGTGCCACCTGTAGATGAAAAGATGCTGAGCAACTCAGGTAAGTGAAAGAGATAACTCCATCTACATTTCTTTGGTGGGTGGTGGTTGATGCTCTTTCATGGTTTGGTACCATTATCCTCTCTGTCTTCCCTATCTTCACTTGAAATCCCACCGTCTCTTCGAGTTTCTTTGACATTAGACGTAAATCGTCCGCGAATTCCCAGTGCCTTTCCGTCGATTCAACGCACGTCTGTCTTCTTGCTCCCCACGGTCTGTTACCTTATCCAATCCACCACAATCAGAAATGTTATCGGTGATAGTAGGCAGCTTTGTCTTACTCTTTTCTGTACTTCAAACGCCTCACTGAGCTTTTCGTTGCGAATCACTTGGCAGGTGATATAATCATTTCGCTGTTGGATGAGGTTATATACGCTTGTGGCATTCTGATAGTTCCCGAATTACTTCACAGTCAACACACTCAAAGACATTTCCAAAGTTGATGAAGTTAAGGCGAAAGGTTGACTGCTAATCTATGTGCTGTTCGATGATGATGATGATGATGATGATGATGATGATGATGATGATGATGATGATGATGATGATGATGATGATGATGATGATGATGATGATGATGCAAAGCAATGCAATTCGGTCCGCATATGATTTGCTTTACCTGAGTTCAACGTGTTTCGGGCGGAGTTTCGCATCCATATAGTCTCTCAGTCTCTACAGGACGACACAATGAATTACTTGGCTTCGGGTGGACAGGAGCATGATTCTGAGGCATTTCTCACAAAGGCCTAGGTCTCCCTTCTTTGGTAGTTTGACAAGCTGATGCTTCTTCCAGTCAACAGGTACTTTTCTCTTCCTCCAGATCTTCTACAATAGTAGTGTGAGGATATTTGGTGTGACTTATGAATCTATTTTGAGTACTTCGGGAGGAATTTTCTCCTATCTTGGTGTCTTCTTAGGTTCGGGTAACTTTATGGTATTCAAGACTGTTTTTGTTGAAGGATTGGTATTCCCTGGCAGTTGTGTGCCTGCTGTAGGTGGCATTTCTGGACAGTCTGCAGTCAGTGATCGGTTTAGGAGTCCTTCGAACCAATGAGCTACGTTGCACTTAGTTTCAGTTCATATCGACGCTTTGACATGATGAAGAGGAATAAATTGTGGTCAAGACGCCAACAGTAAATAATACTGTATCACCATGTATTTTTATCCGATAAAATTATTCTATGATGTGATTATACTGCACTACATTGCCCATGTTCTATTCTTAGTTACGATATCTAAAATATTTAAAAAATGTTGAATAAGAAACCCTAATCTACTTCCACAGAATTAACTGCATTTGCAACAACCTAGTTAGTAATAAAATGTAACGTATCAAGTTCTAATATTATCTCACCTCATTAATGCCTTGAAGAATAACAACCACTTTGTTAAGTAAATTGGATTTGTTTCGATATGTCCGAAGGCATATTATAAAATTATGTGCAGATGCTAATCTCATTTAAACTGATATCAATTTTAATATTTTTTTTATTTCTTCACGTTCCCAGTGGAACATATGACTTCAAGCTAGAGGCTTGAAGTTTCTGCAGCAGTGTTCATTTTTACAGGATGGGGTTGCTAGCCTCAAACCCAACCTTTCCTCTTTACCAGCTTTGTTCTGGCTTAGCAAGGTAAACGAGTGTGTCGGCCGGGGATCGAACCCCGGACAATGTACGTGGTCGGTGAGCGTCCTTACCGCTGCGCCACCGACGCTGTGGTGTTTCCGCCTTTTCATATTTTACGAGCTCAAACCATTGACTTGATAAATGACACGATAAATAAGATCTAAAACTTAGATGTTATGCCCTACATATATTAACAAACATTTTTGCAATACAACTGAATTAATAAGCGAACATCAATCAGTAGATATATCTAGGAGATTATATGAGTTTAAGGATGAGAAAGTATGTTGGAGAATCATTCCATATTAAAGGAAAAAAAAGTTAACTGATGTTAATGGTTGTAACGATCCCAAGCCTAATTTAAACACACATCAACTGTCAAGAAACTTATTTCAAATAATTTACTTGTTATGCAATATTACTATTAAAATAGACTCTTTGATAATAAATAGTGCGATAAGTACCTTCTCAAAGTCTAGTTGACACTTACAAAATAAGAAGGTTTAATATGAGGCTTGTTCCTTTCTTGGAAACAAATATAGTTGTTCGTATGTATAAGAGAAAATTATTTATTGAAAACCTAGACAGATAGACATAGCAAATCAACTCTAGTATGTGGCACATCTCGCCCAAAAACTTTATGGAGTACTGGTGAAAAAAAAATCAGTCAATAAAATTTTCATTTAAAAAACTACTGGTCTATTTATGTGCAACTGAACATAAAACAAAAATAACTACCGAGACTGGAACATTTGAGCAAACAATTTTCGTTGTGTTGCTTATAACATCAGATGGTGTTGCAGTAGGACAAACAATCGGTTGATTACTTTTCTGATCATAACAGGAGACATTTGGTACAATCATCGAGTTTTCTGCATCATTAAATTTCATACTGCTTAATATTTTAGAATTTCTAGCTGATAAGAAAACGTCACTCAAGCGATTACAGCTAATTCTGGATGCTTTTGAACTGCTGACTGACTCCACATTACCGATTATCCATTCACAATAACTAACAAATGGCCGACCAAAGCCTATAAATTTAGTTTTGACGAATAAAAAAGCATATTATTTTGTTCATTCATCTTTGTAAATGACAAAAATTATTGTGAACATTAGTTTAATAAAAACGAACGAAGATACTTTAAATGGCCCCAGTGGATTTTGTAAGATGATCAGTATTTTTAAATTTTATCACCTGATGTAATCCCTTGTTTTAATTTTTCCTAGAAAATGCTTATTACACGGAACTAGTGTAGACTTAGAGTATGTTACTGATGTAAAAAAATTTCCCAACCAATTGATTGCATCACTGTCAGATGTCGCCCGAGACACTTGTCAAAATACAAATTCATTTATATTTCTAATGTTTATGTCTCTCCTGGCTGTATCATATCGGATTTATCTATGTTCGCAGATGAATTCACCGCTTTTGCTGCAGCTTGCTTCGAGAACTCTTTATCAATAGTGACTGGCGATTTCAACTCCTGTGATCACTCCTTCCTTATATCACTTGGCCATGACAATATTGTTAACTTTGCTACCCGTCTCGAAAAAACACTAGATCTAGTATTCATCAATGATGTTGGTATATATGAAGCTCGCAAACGTGCTCCTGCATTGAACTCTGACCACTGCATCATACGTGTACTGCCTAAAATATATTCCAAATCACACAAACGTGTCTTCTCTCACCTCTACAGTAAATTTCAACGGAGATGCTACTCACAAGACAATCTAAGCAAACTCAGATGCATGTTGATAGATACTAACTGGGACCTATTTACAGAACAAACATTAAATGACACAATCACAAACACCACAGATTATCTTAAATTCTGTTTGGAAATATGTTGTCCTAAAGAAACATTATTCACTCGTTTTGACCGTTTCTCTTCTCCATATCTCAAAAAGCTCCGTAGAGATAAAGAACTGTTGTTCAAAACAAATGATAAGTCAGGTGTAAAAAAGCTAAATCCTCTGATAAAACTCGAAATGCACAGACTAAATGTTTTATACAACCAAAGATTCTTGTCATGTAAAACCCCTTCTAGTTTATGGAAACTTTTTAAAGAAATAACTAGCGGTAAGCGGTGTACTTCTGTCCAATCTCTTAATGTTAATAATCTTAATAAGTCTTTCATACGCTCCTCTGTCGATATCCTTCCTAATGATACAAATCACATAGACAATAATTTTAGTGGTTTTAATACCCTTGATGTGCTTAAATGTCTCCGTTCTCTTAAGCCTTCCCAAAGCCTTGGTCCTGATGGCGTACCTGCCATTGTCCTCAGGAACTGTGCTGATATTTTGTGTTACCCTCTTACTAATATTTTTAATGCTTCCTTTTCCAGTAATGTTCTACCTTCTGCATGGAAAAACATTAAAATTGTCCCTATACCAAAACAATCTTCTGGTACCGATATTAAATTTAGGCCTATTGCAATTACTTCTCCTTTTTTAAAATTGATGGAAAAACTACTTTTACTTCGTCTTGAACCTTCATTGAAAGCTTTTAATGACCCTAAGCAATTTGCATATAAACATGGTAGAAGTACCTTGGATGCTGCGGTTGTCTTATATCATAATGTTGTTTCTTGTTTAGACAAAGGTGCCAAATATGTTCGTGGTGCTTTCCTAGACTACACATCTGCGTTTGACTCTGTACCTAGGGGCCTTTTATTAAATAAGCTCTCCTTGACGCACACAGCATCCTGGGCTAAGAGTTGGTTGCATTCTTATTTTTCTGATAGAATGCAGTATACTGCATATAATGGCAAATCTTCTGCTTTGCTTACAAAAGCCGGTATTCCTCAAGGTGCCGTCCTCTCTCCCTTTCTTTTTTCTTTCTTCCTACATGACCTGCCACATTTAAACGAAACCAATTTTGTCAAATATGCTGATGATCTGACTGTATCACTGCCTATCACTTCTGAGTCTGACTGCTCCAAACTTAATAGCTTTCTGTTGGACATCAGCATGTGGTCTAAGTCAAATGGTCTTATGTTAAATCCTTCCAAATGTCAGGCAGTTAACTTTACCTTCAACCATTGACGTGACATACATGAACTAGTTAGTTCCCATGGTTCCTGTAGCATAGATGGTACAGAAATTGAAACCAAATCAAGCATTAAATACCTTGAATTAGTTCTTTCCTCTGACCTTTCATGGTCATCTCACATTTTATTGGTCTCTAGGAAAATGTTTCGTCTTACCTTCTACATTAAAAATGTTAAGACAACAACAACAACAACAACCTTTAGTTCTGCAATTTTTAAACTCCTGTATTTTACCCATTGTACTTTATTGTTCTCCATTAATCTTTCCTGGGCTTCTTAAAAAAGACTATGCCGTATTACGAAGGGTATTAAATGCTGTGAGTAGGGCTTGTGGTTTGCCACTGCGTGATCTCGCCAATACCATAGTCGAGAGACACGTAAATTCCTGTACAAATTGGGCAAAGGCCGTACTGTCAGACCCTCTGCACCCTTTTTATTCACAATTATCCCCTTGTATCTCATCAGGTAGAACGAGAAGTCAATATAAGAAATTATATGCTCGTACCACTAAGTACAAAAATTCTACAATACCGTATTTAGCCCGTATTTTATGTGATGAAGACACTGTTAGACGTGAAACATATAAGTTACTATGTAATTAGCATAGTGAATCGACCCTTTCATTGTTCATCTTTCTGTAATTCTATGGTGTCACCCTTTCTATCGTTTAATTATAACTTTGCTATTTTTATTTTAGTTGTTATTACTATTATTACTATAATTTTCTATTTTTCTCCTTATCCTATACTGTAACTGCTACATAGCTCCTATAAAAACGTTTTGTTATCATTATTATGTATTAATTATTCCGTTTATCTATTTTTTCTTTGTTGTTGTCGTTTTTGAGTAAATTAGATGCAATACTGTACTGAATGCTGAAAATTCCTTGCTGTATCATTAATACTGTTTTTGGAATAAAGCAAAAATTATTATTATTATTATAAATGAGTTATTTTAATAAGTGATTTATACAGAGAGATAAGCAGCAGATGTAGATATTTTAGGAGATATATTCGCATGCAACTTTTGCGTACCACTAAAACGATTGTTTGGGTTGGTGATAAATGATATAGTAGGCACATTTCATCAAGAATATTTTAAAATACTTGCCAACTTGAGCGATCCTTTATTTTGTACTCACCAGACAGGGTGTGATTTTGGGTACCTGGAAAAAGAACCTTTCTCATGAGGCAGTACAACAGCTAGTGCTTGTAAAGTAATAAGCCTACCAAAAATTTAGAAAACGGGTCACAAATATATCGTATTTTTTAACAAAATAAATACACTAGATGTATCAATGTTTTTTAATTCCACTGACTATAGACACAAAACATACTATATTCGGCAAAAAACGGTACACTAGGCTTCTGAAAATTATGCATGTGAATAAATCTACACTTGGTTTCATAAAGTAGAGAAATGATTCAAGTTGGTACACATGAAACTAAAACGAATTAAAAGCAGTGGAAGATTTTGGAGAAAACACTAATGCTGTAAAGAGTTAATATCAGTAAAAAGTTTGAAGAGATCAAATAAATTATAATTGTATTTCAATGGTTTACATACAATCATAACTTTTGATTTCGGTAATATTTTGAGTAAAATTACTGTCCGTGATCACACCAACTGTTGAAATTTTGTTTTTACTTTGCTCGAATCATTACCAAAAACAAAGACTTATCATTGTGTGTAAACTATTGAAATACAATTATAATTTATTTGTAAAGAATTATTAAGGTATTTGGAAATTTATAAACGAAAAATGTGGCTGCATCTATCTGTAACTGACCATGGGTGGTATTACCATTTAGCTGCAGCTCATTGTGTTAGTCATTAAGATCTGACGTTTGTCAGGCATTATTACTCCTACGCACGAACTTCATCATTCACGAGTATCAAACAACTTTTTGCAGAAGTTCTATGATTCCATCGCATTCATAAAAGCATCAGCGGTCAATTCACTACTTTCTTTTCAGAATAACGTGTAGTTCAAAACTCGAAAATCAAAAGCATTGAAAGCATACGTAGTGGAAATATAATCATCACATTCTAGTTGAAATCCCTGACGGAATTGCAAAAACAGTCTCTTTGAACTCAAAAATGAAGAGGAGGACTGGTAAAATACCACTGATATTTGATAATCCGAATTTATCGAAAATTTTAATGGAGTTACACAATCTATTTGAAAATAAGCTACGGCACTTAAATTTGATTTCGAGACATGATGGTCACAATAAACAACCAGTAATAAGTAAGTGTGTATGCGTGGTTAGACAAACTACAGCAACCTTGTCAACCATAAGTGGGGCTAAATAAACGTTTTCAAGCGTAATGAAAACGTTTCCCTCGAGACAACGAAACTGAGGAATATGTTACTGGTGAAAATATTCTTGCAGTTGAAGACGGGACATACAAAAATGTCTGAAGTTATAGCAAAAGCCGCATTTATCATTTTTATGTTAAACTCAATGACACGAATAAAACCACAATAAGTAAATCGCCTCTTTATGCTAGAATGCGGTCTGTCCATAAACACCCATACTCGTTAATCTAAACTAAATTTCACAAATACTATGTCCATCTAACTGTTAAGCAAGTTTCAACTTTCAGATTAGAAAGAACGCTCAGGTGATACAGTCTATTGCATCCAACGTTTGATTTTGCATTTTACTAAAGGGTAAATATGCTAGTCTTAATTGAGTTGCCAGCTCACTTCAAAAGGTACAGTTAAAAGTAATGAAATCAGTGGTGACACTAATTTCAGACTTATGCATTCCCCGTGTATGAAACGTTCAATTAATAATAATAATAATAATAATATCCTAAACGGTACTTTCGATGTGGAATTTTCAGCATGTTATACATCTAATTTTCTGTTCATATTACATCGTACAAGGGGAATAAGCAGGAGGATATTTACGTTGATAATAAGGTGAATAAGGATATGGATGTAAATCTAAAATTTAAGTGGAAATATTTACAACAATTTATTAATATGAGAAAGAATAAAAAGGCCTGTTAAATTAGTGTTTCGCAGTAAGTTAGTTTTTATGTATAATTATATTTCAATAGTTTACACACAATGATAAGTTTTGTTATTGGTAACATTTCGAGCAAAATTACTGTCCGTGATCACACCATCTCTTGGAATTGTTTTGTTTTTTAATTAAAAAGAAGTTAGTACACATGAAACCAATATGAGTTAAAAGCAGTGGAAGACAAAACAATTCCAACAGTTGGTGTGATCACGGGCAGTAATTTCGCTCGAAATGTTACCAATAACAAAACTTATCATTGTGTGTAAACTATTGAAATATAATTATCCTTTATTTGATCTATTCGACAATGGTCTGACTTTTTACTGACATTAGCTTTTATGCCTAGTGATTTTCTTATCACATAAAATGGGTGCCAAATAAGATGTCGTAGAGTTTTTATACTAATTCGTCCAAGGGCACAGTCTTTTCTAAGTTGCCTCTTGTCCTACCTGATGAAATGCAAGCAGAGAGTTGTATATTCAAAGTTTAGTCAGAGTTCGCCAAAATAATATTCGCTAATTCCTTGCATGATTTGAAGTGTCAATCTACAGCAGATTAGCATGTCGGTTTACTGGTACTCCACTCACCTTACTGACAACTTTCTGTGCCCTCCGCAGTTTAAAAAAGTCTCTTTTAAGTGTCCCATTAGGGATTAAGAGGCGGCAATAAGAAAGAATAGTTAGAATACAAGAATTTTAGAACTGTAGAGAGTAATAGAGAAAGATCGCCTAAACGTAGGAGATTAGACAAAGTATCTTTCTAGAAATTGACCTGATATTAGAAGACCAGGAATATTCAGAAGAAAGATATGATCCAAGGTAGTTAACGTTTGTCCTGGTTTCTACTTCACTGCCAACAACAACAATCATGGAGACGAACCAGTTCACGTAAATTGCGCTTGTGTCTGAAAGTGAAATTATCAACCAGAAATTTAAAGAGATTTGGCTCAGAACCACTTGAGAAAGGCCACTGACTAATTTCTGATAAAAGGCCACTAATTCTGGAACAAGCTGACTGAGAAGTGACCCGTATGGAAACAGTGAGATCATCGGCATACTTAAAAAATTGGCTTCATCAGAATCAGACAATTCATGTAACAAGAAGATGAATGGTTTCCAAAACGACCAGTCATTGATATCTCCAGCACCTCTACCACTTGGTGCAATGTACTTGGCAATTGGCGGTTAGTAGACGATGATATCCACATAGAAAAAAGGAGGATTCTGGAGAAATATAAGCAGTAGGTTCGGGCTATAAATGCACTAGGGAAAAGTGAATAATTCCAAACAGGTAAGATTTGGGAAGGAATGGGACATCATACTCCCCTTTTTCCCCCTCACTCACTTATTGTCATACATCCCTTGTTTTCAGCGGAAAAGTCTAAATCGTTTTCCCAACTGTCCCACTATTCGGGCAATCAGGTTTCTCCAGTTTTCCCACTTGCCCCATCTTATAACGAACAAATTCCCACTTATCTCGAGTAAACAAAGGGGAAATTGCATTTTTTCCCGATTTATGAATGGAATGAGTACTACGTTTTGGTTTCACTTTTCCCATATTTACAACCATATTCGTAAACTGGGCAAGCTTGCAAACAGAAACGTTTTTTTTGTTTTCTGAGCCAACCAGCAAAAAAGCTAATATCTCACTTACGTGTTGGTATCATGCTGCACGCAGTTCCAGCTAACTGAGGGATGACCAGTGTAGTAAATTCATTGATTCCATAGCTAACTTGAATTGGAAAGTCAACCTAAGATAATTAAAATAACTCCAAGTTTTTTTCAAAGCTCACCATGTAATAGACATTATTCAAGGTTTGTAAATCACCATCCATTCTCAGTATATCCCTTGGAACATATTTCAGGTTCTCTTACATCAAATTTAAACTTTATGTTGAATAACTTACTGTTTGACGAATATATGCATAAAAAATCAGATGAAGACGTATCGACAGTCGCATTTCTGCAAAAATCAATCTCGCTTCTTAAAATAATCATTCATATGCACTATTATTATACTTTTTCATGACTTCACATTTTGGAAATAGCTGTTGCTGCAAAACATTACAGTCCCTGTCACAACAGCAGGCACTGTCACAGTGGTTCTTTATAATATCGCAGGGACATGATAAGCCTGGGAAATATTTAAATGTAACTCAAACCTCCACTGTATAAATTTACTAGCAGCAGCAAGACGCCGAATTTCATATTGGGGACGTAGCAACTGTAAGCTTTCGAGATATTAAAACAAACAGATTAACTAATCTACTGGCGAAATGGGTTAAACACCGTAACTTTAGATGAAAAATTGCTAATGGTAGCATATTTTTGAACGTATTGAGCATTCTTTCACTTCTCATGTGAAGTTCACGGGCACCTACCACATAGTATACGAAGTTCCAGAGCGATGTACATTTATAGGATGAATTTGAGAGTTTTTATGTCTTCAACGGGCTACAAAAATAAACCTTTAATGTAATGATCCTCTTTGTGGGCTTGTAGCGGTAGGTAATTCCCCAGAATTATTGGCCACAGCATTCATCACTCAACATTGGATGCTGACCCTCACTGTTTAAGTCAACTTGTTTAGCTGAAGGCTTACAGTCAAGCATCCACGCCATTTGGCACGCTGTCGTATTACGTTCGTTCGTTCGTGCACGATGCCTAGCTGGTTAAGAAATAATCTTTCACTCCGATTTAGTCCCGAAATATAGTTCATAATCTCAATTATCAATTCTGTTGTTTTGCTTTGCCTTTAGTCTATGCGGAACGAACGCCATAGAAGTTGTGGGTGTAGGATCTTGCATTAGTATACTTTATACTATCCATGAACGTCAACACCCTAAGCCTCTAAAGGCTAACTTAGAATATCCAACAGGCGGACAAATTGGTGTCTTCCCGCCGATGTTTATATTAAAAAGTATGCTTGATCAGATATAATTCGGAAGCCCCAGCTGCAAAATGCCTAGTGCCTTCTAAAGGTGAAGTTGAAGAAAAGTTGGAGTATCACAGCAAAAGTTACTGCACAAGCTGCTGACAGTGCAGGTTTAGTCATATCGTTTGCGCACTTGGACATTATGCGGTGACAACCAAAGTTGGATGCAGAGGAGAACGCCAGTGTATAGCGTGATTTAGCAAGGCAAAGTCATTATACAAGGCGCGTCATTCTTAAAAGATGGAAAGATACCGTCGACCTGAAGCAAGGGAGCCGACTGCGATAGAGGTGATCTCTGCAATTGGTCAATCAGTTTCCTCCAAGGGAGGAAATACAAGGTTCCAGGCGTAAGACCAGGTTCAAACAGGATCTCCGTTGAGTTAGGCCAGTTCCAGATGGGTTCATTCTTGCAACAACTGCCGGCACTACCAGTATTTGTCTTCACATAATCGATAAAAACGCTGACTCCACAGAAAATTATTCGTTCCACCATCTCTCACAGTGCTGAGAATTTGAGTACTGATCATGTTTTCAGGGAATCGTTCAAACTTTGACTAGCAGATCCCATCAAAAGGAAGTGTGCGGTATTATATAAAAGCAGACAGCGCAACATTGGTGAGTAAAACCCTACTTTGGGGGATGTTGCTCGGTAAAATTCGCTAAGGCCTCTGTTGGTAGAACATGGAGGCACCAAAATGAACTTACATTTTACTACACTAATAATCCTAGTCCATTGAAACTTCGAAGAAATACATTGAGTGCGATATGTTTGCCTTGAAAATCCATGACACCATCGGAATTATGAGATTATGATGAACATGTAAAACCTTAATTGCCTATTTCCTTCCCTCGCATTACAAGTCAGTTGAACATGAGCGTCTAATCCAGTAACTTACTCATAAACTGGCGATATATCTGTATGGCCTATCTTTACTACATCTTCTACCACCTCATTTGTATTGCCACTGAATCTGGATGTCTGAATGTCAACTGTATTCCCAAATAAACAGGAATGAGTGTGATCAGTACGAGTATCACCATAAGAGGCATTTGTGACCGATTTCACCTTTTCTTTGTGAACTTCTCTATACCCACTTACCCAGCTGTGTGATGTCTAGAAATGGAAGATTCGTACATTTTTGAAACCCACGGTTGAATAACAGAGAAGCCCTCTTCGTTTTAACAAGCCTTATGTCAATTCATCACTTCTGGCTGGCTGATGAGAGGGTCTCCCAGAGGTATTACTTGGGATTAGCTTAGCATTGACACCGTAAATGTTCCATGGATACGTGGGCTCATCGCAAGTCTGTTTTTTACACTGCCTGAATGAACTGGAACTCTTTCCGTGGTCGGCTTCAACTAGATATCAAACTCACAATAGTTGTGTGGCCATGTACTTTGCCAGACCTGCACTTTAGCCACACTATATGCAGCTTCTTTAGCCTTCCTGACCTAACCTGGGGAGGGGCTGTTCTTAACATCACCTCAGCCAGTGAAGGGAGAATATAACACTTATGGCTTTTCGAGGGTGTAGTTATTAACGTTGGTATAGAGATAACGTCGGGATGCGCATTCGCACAACAATGCAGCAACGGCACCCTTGTCCCTCGAAAACTCAGTCGTCCGTAATGTGATTCAGTCAGCAGAGATAAACAAGCTGGCTGTTGAAGACTAAATGGGTGGGTTTCAATCGAGTTGGCGAATTTCTTTGATACCCTACAAACTCTCAAAGTTGAATTTGCATTGAAAGTCTGATCACCTGATGCACTAGAATCTTGGGTCTCCCAAATATTGCCTTCAGATTATTATGAAGAAACCTAATGGAGTCATAAATCAGATTTTGCTTTCTGATAAGAGAAATGTGGAAGCTGAGGTTCTTGCGTAACACTGAAGATTGGGGCTAGATACGGCCCTATATATCCACCTATTTAAGTACATCACTGAACAGGTGTAAATTTACTACCCTGTCTTAATTATTTGGCATAATATTGGAACTATCCGGCCGTTAAGATAGAAGCGCCCGTAATATATGATTGGCTAGTTTTGAGGTCTGTTGAAGTAAGCGACAGTGCGTCAGTTGTTATCATTTCTGCTGGCTGAGAACAACAAGAATATTTCAACTAATGAGATTAGTTGGAACCTTGTAGAAACTTTTTCAGCTTCACTCAAATTAATATTTAACAAGCACCACACTGCGATTATCCGACATAACGGTTTCACGACGATTTTGGGGGTAATTGTGCAATGAACATGAACCGCTGGAACCAAATGTTTTCTCCCTTTTCGTCTTCCTGCATTAAATTCAACGCTTGTACTCTCAGATTTAAGGACTAACCAGATGACTACCTTTAACTTAATATGCCTCAGAGTTGTCTCTCCTTCCCAGGCGCACTATAATTATGCACTAGTTGGATGTGTATGGACAAATTTGTCATATCGAGATTGATAACCTAAGAGAACTGACAATGCAATCAAATTACAGTTGGTGCTACAATCGCGATGCAGCAAGCCCGGCTTGCTTCATCAAATTGAGTCATACTCTGAACACTCTTATCCCCCAACGGTCCCCAATTTTGTATTCGTTGGTGTTACTTTTGATCACAGAGCTCTTTCTCGCCTCAGTAACTTCGGTTTACACAATGAGTAATGAGACTGGGCCTGCAGTAGATTTCTCGAGTATGTACAGCTTTAGATTTCCTCTAATGAATTCGAAATCTCAGTTACTGACAAAGAGCCTGTTCTGCCGCCTAACTATTCAGAATATTTAAACCTCCCCTAACCACAGTAACAACAATCGCCTTGAAACTGAAACACACTTTGAGACTCACTGGGAGTTATTTCCCTTGAAAAGTGAGCTGAATTGTAGAAAGGTGTTTTAGTTAAAAGTTGACGTTTTGGCACCCATCCCGCGACTGCAATCACTCCATTTTGGGCTGACCTTTATCCACTTGTTTTGTCAAAAATTAGTTGCTTTAAATCGACTGGATGTAACATCTAGGGGTAAGCTGTCATTCAAGATTAAACTTCACAAAATAATACCTATTCTAATTTTTAAAATATTGAGACAAGTGGCTCACAGCACTGACTGATAGTCAGTTTCCAAGAGCTGTTTTCATTGTTGTTTATATTGAATGACCGCTATTCAGCGGATATGATGGTGGGGACATAAGAGAACCACCCTTATCTGTGGGAATGCGCTCTATTGCTAAGGCTCCTGAGTGTGAATGACTTCAAAAAAAATAATAATAAAATAAAAGCTGCCTGTATGACAAAGCTTGTGTATAAACTCTTTGAAAACAAGCTCATGGTACGATTTCTTTACTTCAGGAGGACATCTAACTGTATAAATCAGAATAACAGCATAAATAAGTATCATCACTCTTTTTGTTTTTCTTTCCTTCTACATATTTTATGTAATTTGGCGTTTGGATTAAACTCCCCCAACTTCTATTCCCACTACCCTATATAGGTGTAAAAATCATTATTCGTTTTGCCCTTATGTTTTTTTAAAAATATCTGTTATTCTATATTTTTTGTTGTTTACCACCACAAACTTGAACTAACTGTTAGTATAAAACACTATAAAACTCAATGACTCTAGATTATTAGTAACAAAAAAGGGAAATAAACCCCGCGGTTATCGTATATTGTTTGCTTAAATGATTACTAGTTGCTGGCTGCCTCTGCACCTCTCTTTCTGTTTTCTCCTTTCTTCTCTTCTCGAAGGTATTGCATTGGAGCATTGCAAATGTACAGTGATGCTGCTTTCTACGTTTGTATTACCTGAGCGTTATTCAGAATATTGTTGGCACACACAACGAACAACGGAAGAAATTCCATTCTGAGTACTGTTTGTCATCGCAAAGTTGGTCCCTTGTATCTGTTATGGGCGTTGATAAGGCATATCCCCTGTTTGAAGTGGCGCCTCCAGCTTTACCTTGAGGACATTTGCGCGGTCTAGTTGATTTCAGTTTGGCTGGTTTGTTCCGTTAGATCCAGGTAGCTGCATTTGACGTGATTCTGGTTTCTGTTTGGCTTGAACTGCATTGATTTTGTTAAGAAT